GTCGTGAAAATACGGTATGTATTTCTTTCAGTAGAGTGGCTGGCCATGTGGAATTTGTTTCGGCATGTGATAGTGATAGAGATACAGGGAGGGCTGGAAAGTCTTTAACTGAAACAGAGAGGCTATGTCAGCTATACATTAATTCTGTAAAAAGGGGGACATCGGCTCAAATGCTTTTATTGGTGCATCCTTAATCTAGACTATACAATGCCTTTAATCTCAGTTTTGAATTCCCACTATATCAAACAGGGCAAAACTTTGAACCATAAGCGTCGTTAGACCTATTTAAGGGTGGCTTCAGCCACCCTTTCTTTGGCATTAGCCACCCTATAATTATTTTGCGATTTTAAAAAATATATATTTTTTTCTGTATTTATTTTTTCCTCATATTTTCCCAAAACAAATGCAGTAAAGCACCGAATAAAAGCCATAAAGAAGACAAGTTAATCTGAACAATCATAGGCGTAACTTCCTTAAGGACTGGTGTGGACATGTCCCCACCAATATTTTGTACACGTATTTTGCTTTCGGTGCTGTGTATATCTGATTAAAACCCCATTCATGCCGCTCCTCAGAAAGAAAATAAAAAAAGTTCTCCCCGCTGCTCACCGTCCACAAACCCCGACAAAAAAACTCAGAAAAAAGAATCTGTTGCCTCTCGCTTTCTCCCCATCACCCCCCTCCAACCTCTCCCCATAACATTTGAATTGAAGATATCCGGGGGTGACGGGTCGGGTTCGGTAGTCATCCTAACGGGTTCGGGCGGGTGCGGGTTGGTAAAACTCGACCCATGCAGGTCTCTAAGCTACACTACAATCAGTATCGTTGCCATAGAAACAGACAACAGCGCCAATATATCAGAATTATACTAAAACACACGCAAATAATTTCCCAAATAAAAAACAGGACTTTCAGTCCATTACAGTTTTCCGTTTTTAGAGGGTTGTTTATTTTGCGTTTATTAAGTGATGGCTGTGGTATATTAGCTTTCACTGCTATAAGCTTTCGCAGCAGTGATTGATTAATTTAAACACCTGCTCTGCTGATGGTCTATCGGAGTTGGTGTTTAGGTTGAACATAAAGAACACCTTTTATTTGAAGCTTCTTATAGCTACTGTTTTAATCCCGGCTTCACTTAAAACTTTTTCCTGACTTTGATAGTGTTGCCATTCAGTAGCAAGCACTGCGCCCCTTTTTCTTTTATATGTACACGTACATTTAAGATTTAGCGTGTTATGTTGACAGCTCATGAGCAAGCTGCTTTTTGCAATCTAGCAGGGAGGTAAGGATAGGATCTTGCAGATGTGACGTCACTCTGCAGGGGGTCCAAAGATAAAAGATTTAAACAATTTTGGCATTGGAATTTCAGATTTAAGGGAGTTAGAAAGTTCACTTAGTAAAAGTGCAAATAATAAATCTGATTACCGATTACTTTTAAGCTGGTTGAACATACTGCGACAGACTGGTGACCTGTCCAGGGTGATCCCACCTCTCACCCAGAACCTGACTGGAGATATGCACCAGCACCTCCTGATCCCACTGAGGGATAAGGTTAAAGAAAATGGATGGTTGAACATAGTCCACTCTCCCAGATTCTATCAAATCAGTATTGATACCCTCAGGGGCGGATTTAGGAAATTTGGGGCCCTAGGCAAAGACAGGCAGGGGGCCCCCTAAGAAGTAAACCCATAAAACAGACCCATTCTACAGATAGAGAAATGCTAATAGAATAGACATCCATTATTTGTTCTAGGTTTTGTCCCTCTCTCCTTGTCCCTTTTTCCTCTCTATTTATCAGCGTTCTGATGGCATTTTAGCCAAAGGATTTTTAGCAAAAACATAATTAATGTGCACAAATAAGGATTAGTTGTATTAACCATACATGGAAACAGAGTTTTATGGGGCCCCCAGAACTTGGGGCCCTGGGCAACTGCCTAGTATTGCCTAATGGTAAATCCCCCCTGGATACCCTGCTAGTGGATGTTCTTGACAGAAAGACGGAGTTGCTTAATCATATTCTGCTTAAGGCCCCATAAGATCTTGTCCGAGTCCTGGTTTAAAAGTAAATTAATTTTAAAAAGTGACCCAAAATTGACTGTCAATAAATGTTCTACAAAATTGATATATTTATTTGATTTCTTTGATTTGTACTGTCTGTTTAGATTTATGTGATATTTTTTGCACAAAATATATAAGTCAATATTGTAACAGTTATGTTTTCAACTGTAAGCATTAAATTGATAAATGTTATTCGCATTTTTTTGGCTTTATCCTTTCCAACAAAAAAAAAAGGCGTCGCGCAGGTAGCTCCCTTTCCTTATGAGCCGTCCCCACCAACTTTCAACACAAAGTTACACCCTTGTCTTAGACAACGCCTTAGCAGGTGCACTGAAAAAATCCGGCGCGCGCTGCGCGCGCACATTATCTTCTAGGGGCTGAGCCACCCTTGTCTCTTAAACCTAGAGACGCCCCTGCTTTGAACCAAGGCAAAACAAAACCTGTAAAAACAGAACTATAAAAGAAAAAGTGATCATCTTGTATGTCTCAGAGTGGAAAAGTAACTGGATACAGTTGATTTAAAGATAGAAATAGCATCACTGCTTGAATACTAGAGGAGAGACCTAGAAGACTCTTTGGAAAACCCACACAGCAAAAAAAAAAATTCCCCCGTCCAAACCCCCCTCAACTTGAAACTCAAGTAGCCAGCTTCCTGGGCCATCTGCTTTCACATCCAGCGTTGCTCCTTTTCACTGGTCAGAGGACAAACATCCAGCTCTCTCACTGGTCTACAGGAAGGGGATGTGGAAACACCCCGACACGTGAAACTCAGTGGACGTATGTACAGTATTCGAGGAGGGAGAGTTATAAATCTGCTTACGACTATTGCTATAAAAGATGTTCTGCCTCAGCAAAAAACCTTCACACACACCCACACAGCTGGTGGAATGTTTAGATGGGGATTCACTTCTGAAGTCTCTTACCCACAAATCAGATTTAAGCCTTTTTTTTTATTTAATTCTGTTGTTCCGTTTAATAAAAAAAAAAAAAAGTAAATGAAGAAGATGCAAACACACACAAATCAGTCATGTTAATTTTATTTTAAACATGAGCAATGAGTAATAGTATATTGTGAGTACTATCATATCACTAGACACAAGCATACAAACAGACACACACAGGGATACTTCATGCATTTGGCCTCAGAGTGTCTGCCTCAGTGTTATTCTATCATCCCTTTGCAACCTCGTTTGACTGTAAATTTAAACTCACCCAGTGATGACGTGCAGTCAACTTTAACTAAATAGACTCACATCCTGTCAGATGGCGAGTGCTTCATTAGTGGATCAATGAACAATGTTTTTACCAAAAAGGTACATACCTGATGAGATCAGATGTTTCCTATTAACATGTGCCTATTCATGAGTGTTTGGTATGCACTCAGAGGAACATTGCATTCCAACTCTACTTTCTGTTCATTAAAAAAGCTCCAGGAACTCATGTTGGCAAAACATTTCAACATGAGCTCATGGTAATCTGCCTTATAGGCCAAGACTGGACTAAAATAAAATGTCTAACAGTTTAAAAGATGTTCTTTCACAAGACTATAAACGTTCAACTCTATTAATAAATGTACATAGATGTTTTTTTCACTGTAAACTGGAATGTTTGTTATTAGAATATTTATTCCACTTGGAGACTATCCAGTTCTCAAGCAACATCCATTATTGGTCACTTATGTTGAGGTTTTCTGACATTTGGAAGTCCCCTTGTGCTTTTAAAAATAGAGGAGTGGTCATTAAAAGACTTTTTTTTATTTCCTCCAAACAAAGAAAATGAGTAGATAGAAGAAAATAAGTAAAAACTTCAACTGTTATGATAGACCAGGGCTGCTTGAAATGATACGATTTAAAAAAAGCAAACATTTTTCATAATACATTGAGATACCAGATAACCCTGTTCTACAAGGCATTGTCTTTGGGTCTCTCAATCAAGTTTCAGACTGTTAACTATAAAAATTAATGTGCTTGATTATTTTGGTAGAATTTAGAGGGATTTCTGTAATTCTGTTTAACAAAAACAGTAAATAGATCATGTTGTACGTTTTAGTTTGACCTTTTTTTTTAAGCTAACTGTTGTATTTCTAAACTCTAACATAATGTAATAATCTCATACAAACCCAAACCTAGAGATCAAAATACTTTACCTCAAGCTGCTAAAATATTAATCTTAAGCTTAAATCTGATGTTTTTTTTTGTTTTTGTTTTTTTTATTTCAGTGGTAGTGGCAATATATGGTTATTTATTATGGCTATGAAGATCTTTTTAAATTAAAAAAAGGAAAACGTTTAGTAGATGGATGCTTCAATTCTAGAATTATATTACAATAAAGAAATTCCCCCCCCCCCATTCAGTTCTGCTTAATCCTTTATAGGGCAAGATAACCCCCCCAAGATCTATATCCAGCCATTCAGCAAAGATGCTGCTACATGGCTGTACGTCTTATTTTGGTGATTGACCAATTAGAAGAGCCCTTGAATGATATATTACCTAATATAAATTAGGTTGGGAAAAAAAGTTAACGAGTCAAGAAAAAAGATAAAAAGCTAATTAAAAGTTAAAAAGTAAAGTTCAAAAGTTAATAAGCTTAGTTAACAGTTATATTTAGGTGTGTAAGTTCCAGTATCAGCATTAATGCTTCTAAGGTTATGTTGTACCAAAAAAAAAAAAGTGTTTCTTTAGCTTTCAGAGTGTTTTTCATGAATTTCTTATAGAAGCACTTTTATTATTTTTCTTAATATATCCGGGCAAGATGGCTTTTCTTGTTTTTACATTGACATTCATTTTTGCCATCAAATTATACATATTTTTTTAATGTTACAAAGGTAATAAGGTCTTAGCCTGTATTCCAATAACACTATTGGTTTGAAATTTAGATTTTTAAAGTATTTAACTGAGTGTCCTATAAAGGCTTTAATCTAAATGCAGCAGTTCTGCCTCTACCTGTTCTCCTGCTCGGCCTCGCCCTCCTGCAGCTGGAGCTGGCTCCGTCCCGGGGGAAGGTGTTTGGACAGCAGGTAGAGGGAGACGCTCGCCGCCGCCACAATGACAGCTAGTCCCGCTAAGGAGCGCATGTTGTCCCTGTAGACAAACTTCACCGCAACTTTCACCAACAACTCAACTTAAACGCAGGGGAGAGCGCCGCTGCAGGGGAAGTTGACGTGTTCTGGTTCAGTTGGAGGAAACCGGGGGACAGGGGGGTGTTGCTTTCCCAGAGGCAGGCCCCTCAGACGGCTGACATTCTGCCAGGGGTCGGTGAGCGGATCAGATGGCAGCTTGGTGACTAATAGCTCTCCTAAGCACACTGACACTGCTTGACTCTATTGAACAGCTTGTCCAGTTAGTTCAAAGTTTATTCAATGTATATATATTTATATTAATGTACAATGTATTATTTCTTTGAGTCATATTTATACAAATTTCCTTCTAAGATGTATTTTTTGCATGCAATGTAATGTGCTATATCACTAAGCGACCGCTAGATGGCAGTGTACCACAACTATTTCCACGGATATTTGTACATCATTGTTTATCTATTCGGTCAGTGGGTTTGGTAACTTTAATTTGCTTTTCCATTGATATATAAGTTATTTATAGTAGGGAGAAATGTTAAATTTTGGTTATTCTAATGCACATAGAGTGATCTTAAAAAAGTATTTCTCCAGGATTGATGTTTTTTCTTTTCATCATTCTGCTTCATTCTATCTCTATTCTTCTACTCTGCAGAATCTGTTTGTTCAATGTCTAACGTCTTGCTCTCTCTGCTTTTTCTTATAGTAGCTTCATCTGGTCTGTTCCTGTTTGGATTTGACTCCATCCTGGAGAGAAATATCAGCTGTGCTGCTTCTATCAACACTTTGTTTATAGATGTTGGAGATCGGCCTGTTTTTCCAGTGTAGTCCTGTTTCTTTGACTATAACTGGCTGGATGTGCTCTCTTAATCCTCCATCCTGTCTGCTTTCATCTCTTTGAACCCCAGTCGGCCTCAGCAGATGGCCTCTCACACTGAGCCTGGTTCTGCTGGAGGTTTCTTCCTGTTAAAAGGGAGTTTTTCCTCTCCACTGTCGCTACAAGCATGCTTGGTGTGAGGGATTGCCTTCGAGTCAATTAGTCTATGCAATCAACTGGTTTTCCTTAGATAGAAAACTTTAAATCAATTTAACTGTATGACCTGGTGAACTGTAAAGTGCTTCGAGATGACATGTGTTGTGAATTTTAGCTAAATAAATAAACTTAACTAAACTGAAACTGAACTTTTCTGTCACATTAAATGTTTCCAATATAACATTTTTAATGTGAAAAAAAATGTATTAAGTAGATGTAAAATGTGATTTTCCCCCTGGTGATTTTACTTAAGACAGAAAAGAAAATCAAATCATAGTGGTCCTATCAAGAATTGTAAGGGCACCTTAAGAATAATTGGTTATGCAAAACTTAATGTTCCGTTCATCTCAGTCTTCCATGTCCTGCTGCAGCAAAGCTTCACATCCCATTGGATGGGTTAAATGCAGAGGTAAATTTCTCCAATTTGAGATCAATAAAGTTAAATTCTTATTAACATTAAGTTCCACCATTTTCTTTTTAAATACTTCCTCATAAGTCCTGGGCAAGATTCTTTCTGAGAAATGCATAATGTACATTTAAATTCCCTATTCAGTATCTTTATGGTTAAATCCTAAACTTCAGAACACCTCATATTGTACCTCCTACCTCCTGTTCCATGCTCCTTTCCCTTCACCTTTCACAGGGTCAACAGTAAGAGCACCATCCAGGGTAGGAAAAGAACTCCTGACTACTGTGCTGAATCCAGACAGCCTTCAGTCTTATGGACATCATTACACGGCAGTAATGTTGGTGTGTGCCCATACAGAGACACATAAAGGATCGTGGGCAACCTTATAGCTCCTAGAGGCTCCTCGTCATGATGAGGTCCCAATGCTAACTGCATCGGCTCTGAGAAGCATACTGATTCCTGGTCCTAGCTCCTTCCTAACTGCCAGCACTTTTTAGATAGGAATTAATTAGCTAGCTGACTAAACGCACTGTTCTGACATTGTTAAAGAGTCCTTACCAATTTGAGGTGTTTGGATGGAGCCGTTGACTTTAATTGACACATGTGATCCTGTTGAGTTTCAGATGTTTTTGTTTTTGTTATTTCCTGCATGCATTTTTGATTTGCTCTTGACGTCATTGACCATCACCTTCTGAGCCACATTCATCAGTGTTAGTGAATCAGTTATTTACTAGCGTCGGAATGCTTACAAAAGACTATTAAGATTTTGGCTTAAGAAATTCAGTTTACCTCTTAGACAAAAACAATTGCTAATTCATACTAGAGAATTTACTACTTTTTCCCATTTGATCAGGTTGGTGATGATAGTTTAATCCCTTTAACAAATCATCCTTTTGTATGTATTAAAATTTTCTTGTTATATAATTTATTTGGTCATTTAAAATATTGACTTTCCTTTGTGACTGTGCTGGGTAGTCCAAATATGTTGTAATACTTGGTTAGTGGTCTCAGATTTAATCAAATGCCACCTTTCAGACACAAATATACAGTAACTCACAGTGATTTCCATGATATTAATCAGAAATCAATTTGTTGAAGTTCCCAAAAACAGGAAAAACATTCAATTGTTGTTTAGGAAAGCCCATTAAAACCATAGTAGTGACCAAAGTACGTGAGAATAATGGTTGATTTTAGATTTGAATAAAAAATTAAAATAAAAACAGGAAAAAATCTATTACTCATAATATGCTAAGAAGATTCATTTTAAGTCTTTAACAAAATGAAGTCAGCTAGATTCTTTATTAATAATATAATTCATATAAATAAAAATAATTGACTCAAGATTGATTCAGTATTTTGTTTTATTTATTTTCATTTTTGGTATTCATAGAATTTATTAGCTCCTCCATGAAACACATTAAGATGTAGCAACAACTTTATTTCGTGCAAATATCTTATATTATTAATGATGAATATTCTTATATGTATAATTTTGTGATTAAGGCCATAAAGGTTTATGAAGAGGTGAGATTTAGTTTAACTTCTTTTCAAGCAACATTTTATTAAAGGTTTTAAGAAGCAAATCCCCCTTTGGATAGAAATGTGTTTGGTAATATTTTTTCCTAACTTTTATCCAATCAGAGGTGGGATAAATTAAGCATAAAAATACATATAGGTACATGAATGCATCGGGGTTTGTTTTACTTTAGCTTTGCTAAAAGCTATAAGTGAAAATCATTGGATAAATGTTTTTCTTTCATCTCTTCTCTCCATTTTCTTCCCCATCTGCAATAAAAAGCAAAATACAAAGAATTATAAAAAGCACATACAGTAAAGCCATGATGCATTTACTTGAAATGTCCTGATCTCTAGTTCAATGCAAATAGATGTCAAAGAATAGATCACAGAATAATAATTTAATTTTTATAATTGCCCCTAAGTTTCTTTAACTCAGTGTGATGTCAGCTTTCTATGCAGTGATTTCTTATTTATTTTTATTTTTTTTTTACAATTTTCTTGTTATTGTCACAACTGAATGTTTCAGATCATTAAACTGATGATGATCTGATAGCCAGGACCGGTACCTGGCCCAGCTGACACCTGTTCATATTTATCTATTTATAGAAATGGCCAAAACACAGTCACATGGTGTTTCATCCACATGCCTTTCAAATGGGGCTTTAACATTTCTGTTTCAAAATTATTTTTTCACAAGAATTTTTTGTTTCATAGCTATGAAAACAAAATAAAATGAGATTTAAAATTCCAGCTGACATGGCTGGCTCTGCGGGAGTAATGCAACAGCAGGTATTCATTTTTCGTCCCACCCCCTATGGCCGCCATTATTGGAAACTAGAGGCTCAGCCTTTCCAAGGAGGGGTCAGAGGTAATTGTGAAACCATTTCAGCGGATGTAACATGCTTTACATAAGCTTGCTATGTTATTCTTTTTTTCTATTCAGCTTGGTGATATTATTGGTAAATTTCAATGAAACAACGGCAAAATCCTAGGAGAAAAGGCTATGCTTTATGCAGAAGGTCACCAATAATGTAAATCAGCATATTTGCCCAGATTCCCTTTTATAAGTGGAAAAATGCATTTTTGGAACAAACATGCTTCAATTATTCAGTCCAAATTTGCCTGAGTTATAGTCAAGCTATGGATCTATAAAGTCTAAGGGTTCCATCAAAATTTCAAATGGGGTTTCATGGTGTTTTGGAGTGTTTATTTTGGAGAAGAAAAAAAAAATTGGCGAGGCTCAATATTTTTTATTTTTATCTGTTTAAATCACCTACAGTATAAATGTCTTGGTGAATTTTAAGCTTAGTGGTTCCATCTGAAAAATATTCCTCAATGCCTTTCTGTCATACAAATACAAACAATTGTATTTCCAATGTATAGTTTGGGAGCTGTACTGCCTTTAATTCACATATCTAAATTCAGAATCAGGCAGAATTTGCCTCTAAGACCCGCTGGGCTTAAGGGGTTGAAAACAACTAGTGGTTTTAAAGTTGTAATTTTACTGAGAGCAAGATCAAAAGTATCCAAACCAGCTCTATGTGGAAAGCAGCTGCTGCACAAATAAACCTGAGCTGTAGAATTAAGAGAGAAATTCAGTAGAACCCAGAGCTGTAAAGCAACTCAATACCTGTACTTCATTTATTTACGTTATATTTACCTGAGTGACCATTTGAAAAAAAAGAAAAGTACTTTCAGGAGTTGTTTTACAGCATTGTGCTTTTTTACTTTTACTTAAGGAAAAATATGATAAAGTAACACTATTTCTACTCAAGTAAAATTTCTGGTTTCTCCATCCATTGTGAGAAACTTAACAAAAACAAGCTTGTTTTAAACAAATTTGCACCATTGAGACACAATGCTATTGAATGCTCTTTTCCTACTTCTGAGCTACTGAGTCTGCTGTATTGTTTGGAGGTTGGGTAATATTACATGGAAGTGTATACTGTAATTTACATACTGTAACTACTGATTTTGAACATTTTATAACAAAAAGTAATAAGTCTGTTATGATCATAGGTAGTTAGTAGATCAGTTACTCTGTGCTTCAGCTGCCTTTTTACCAAATATTTTTTTACTCTTACTTTAGTTGAGAGTTTTTTAACCCTATAATGCCAAATGTGTCGTATTTGATCCATACGGTTTCTGAAATGTTTTGCGTCTGACACCTTTTGCATAATTTAATGGTAAAAACTTTGCTCAAAATCCTATTGTACACAATCAGATATACCTGATAACAGCCAGTAGAAGACTACACAAAAAATAATCTTGACTTATCGCATAGTAATAAATTATTAATATCAAAAATGTATTTCTTTTTTTCTTTTTACATATTTTGTTAAAAGGGCAAATAAGGAATTCAAAAAAAAAAAAAGTAATTTTCTGTTTTGTTTTATTCTTGGATCGGGCTTTAAAGGGTTAAAGGTCAATTTTTACATTTAATAACTGTATATCATATTATTTTTGTCCTGTCGTATCAGCTGTTTGATTCTGATCACTTGATGCCAACTGTTGCAAATATGCAACACACCATCTGTATCTTGCATACAATAAAATAGCATGTGAATTTTCCCCAATGCCAGTTATTACACATTCAATACAGACATAAAAACCTTTAGCAATTAGTTATTTCTTTTGTGACAAGTTGCTGATGGTTTATTTTATTATTCACCATTATGTCTGTTGTAAAAAAAAATCCAGCATACCTAAATTTTTATTTATTCTTTTGAGCAAAAGTCAAATAATATTTTCTTTGCAGTTATTAATGGCAAAAACTTGATTGCATTTCATTTATTTATCTCCATGTATTTAAATCCAGGCATCAATGCGTTAAACATTATAGAGACAAACTTTTTCAAAATAATCTAAAAGTGATTATCTTTACCCAGTTAAGAACATGTAAACACTCACACTGATACATTTTTAAGTTTCTGGAAAACTCTCAGTAAATGGTTCAGGTGAAACTGGCTTGACTTCTCTCAGTTCCCCTCTCAGTTCAGCGAGGGCCACATCTTCTGGAATAACTAAGATATTGACATAAGTCAGAAAAATAAAATTTAGAAGTGCATCAGTGGTAACCATCAGGCTTGGTTCTATGTATAGAAAGTTTCAAACCTAATTTTGTACCTGGTGAGTCGCGGTGGGATCCAGCTGGCATCAGCTGAACTCCAACCACAAGAACGAGGAGCAGGAACAAAACCTGGGCTTTCATTTTCTCTAGGAGTTACGCACTGATCAGATTAATCCCGTTTGATTTATTTTCCACAACGTACCATCATCAAAAGAAGATCTAAATGATAACTCACCTCAGGTGCAGCACATGAGCCGTATGTTATCAGCTGATCTTTACCAGTTAAGGGACTGATGTCGTGATTGAAGCTTAGACGTACCGGTCTAACAGGTGTGAAACTAGGCGTGTTTCTGAAGCACTTTAAGAATGTGCCCAGGTCACTTTTAGATCTAGTTTTATTTTGCAGAAATATTTCCCTCCTTCTTTGGTTTCTAAAACAACATGGGGCATGGGAAAACATCCCAAAGCTAGTCACATGTGGCTGAATGGTTTATGTCACAGAGAGCTTTTATCATGAAAAGAAATACTCATAAAATTACTCTTTATTGTACCTTTAAAAGTTGGCAGCCTCATTGGTAGTAGATTTAGTAGGTTGATTAGCATTGTCTAAGAACCTTTATCTCAGTCTCAACAGTAACAACAGAAGAGAAGAGAATATTTTAAAAAAGTTCAGGAACTTATTGCAGTGGTTCTCTCTGAAGGTTGGCTTTGATTAGAAGTGAAGTTTATAAAGATGATCAAATATTGAAACAACCCCAAAACGTTCTCCAATGTTAGTATGTGGCCACCATGGCGAAACAACAATGCTCTACACCAGAGGTCTTCAACAGGGGGTCGGCGACCCCTGTGGGGCCCACGGAGGTACTTTGTGGGGGTCACGAAAGTTTTGGTTGATTAACCTTTTTTTTAAATCCCCCCCTGCAGTTTTTTCCACTAATTGAAATGTCTTTAAATCCACATTAACATGAATTCAACACACTGTAGTAAACAGAGAAATGAAGCAGAAGATGTCTTTCAGTCATCAATGCACACATTCAGCGACACACAGGAGCTCTTTCAAGCTGGGCACCGTTTCATTCACAACACCTGTCCCATCAACCAGGAATCAGAATCAGAAAAACCTTAATAATCCTAGGACAAAATTACTTTTGTTTTATTACTCCATCTGTAATAGAGTTACTATAGGACCAGTTTGATATAGCACAATTTTATACAATATATATAATTAGGGGGTCCCTGCTCCATCTCGCCATCAGTTTGGGGGTCCTTCTCCTGGAAAACGTTGAATACCCCTTTTCTACACTGTATGTGTAGTGTTGAAAAATATTGTCTTATAAATAGTGAAAAGTAGTGAGTAAGAATGACTAAATGATACATAAAAAAGAAAAAAACTGCTTAAAAACAGACTAATTTTAGCTATCAGACATTGAAACTCTCAAGGACAACTGGAACTAATCATTTGATTCACCTCAGAACCGGTAGGTCAGAGTGAATATTCTCCATTCTCCACCATAGCCACTGTTACTGTATTTGTACATATAAATAGCATTGAAACAATAAAAAGGAATACATTTTGGACTGACTAAATACTGTGTAAATAAGAGAAAACAGCTAAAAACAGTCAAAGTAATAAATATTACAAATGATCAAATTAGTCTCCTTCATGAATGCTGAAATCAGGTCCTGACACCCTGATAGAGTGCATTAGGATTCTAACTTTCAGTACAAATGTTCTTGAATAAGAACATAATGGTTTGCTTGTGACCCATAATTTGAGAACAGGCACACTCATGGACAGGATATTGCTGCAAGCCTCATTGAAAGTTCTGAATAGTTCAACTTTAACGATGATGAATGCACATGCGTCCGACAGAACCCAGAATGTCCAGCAACATACTAGAAAGACCAGGAACCAAAATAAAATAAAAGTTAATATTGATTGTGAATTCCCCATACTTCCTGACTCAAGTCTGCGACTGAGGTTACTATGGAAACACAGCTCTTTTACAAGCTAGAACAACTCAATCAGCTCTCCGGACCTCAGGTTTCATGCACCCACAGCCTCTTCTTCCTTACAAATGAGTACAGAAAAAGCCGCCACCCAACCAGCACATTGTTAATGGTTAAACCCTGCGGCACATGCAGCACAAACCATGTCCTGTCTGACAGGCCCATTTGGCTGTCACAAATTTTGCTTATTATTATGCATATTTTACCACTTGTAACTCAGTGCCTTTTTTTTTAAATCTAATTCTCATTGTCCTCTCTGGGATGTGTACGCTCATCGTTTTTCCCCTAATAAACACATACTCAGATATATGAAGAATTTATTTTGAGTTTTGTTTTTCTACAAAAGAAAATCTTTAACAAAAACATTACAGCACTTCCTATGAAACAACATTTTAGGTTGCTATTATAGTAGTTAAAGAAAAATATAAATAGGAAGATAAGTGGAGCATGATGCACATGTAACACATTTACATACCATTTACATACAGAGAATGCACAAATTAGCGCTCGTTAGCGAAAAATAACGATGGACAACACGCATCAGGAAAAGCTTTTCTAGATGGTACCAGAAATGTTCTGTTTGCTATAATACTGACATTTCAAATCTGCTCTAACTTAAACACCATCCTCATTTAAAATGAGACGCAGCAAGGCGATTGGACTGATTCAGCTCTACAGCGCCCTCTGGTGATCAGGGATGTAATTGGATTGGTTACAGGGCTTGAAAAGATGTTTTTCATGAACATATAAAAATGTCACATGTTAGTTATCACTGATACAGAGCTAAGGGCCTCCATCGTTAATAAACTTTTCTTTTTTTTATATGAAGTGGAGACCTTTCCCTTAACCAGCAGAATGGAAGACACATTCAAGACCATCCTCTACATCTATATAGAAAAAACATGCTTAAGAAGTGTTCAGTAAATTTGATCATGTTTAGTTTTGTCGTACAATGCTAACCATTTGGAGGAATTTATTACAATTTAAGATGGATTAAATCGCAGCTTAGTTTACTTTAAAGTATATAATTAGTTTGGGGACGGGTTGTTGCAACCATCCCCAAGCTAAACATCTTATGAATATTGTTAAAATGAAAATAGCCCATTTGTTCCTTTATAAATAGTATGGGCAAATAGTAGATAGATTTAAGGTTAATATAAATACATTGTTGTTTAAGGCCAATTAATCTCAGAGTGTAGAGAAAAGGAAAAAAAGTTTTGTTAATGTTCCAAGTCTCCACTATATTAAATGAGCTGCGAGACAAAAAGATAAACCTGTATGATATCAGCATAAATCATGGATGCTTTAATACTTATTTTGTGTTGTGGATTGTTAGAAAAGGTTTGACCAAATTATATTGCTCAAGCAGAGAGCAACAGTCAGCAGCAATAGGGATGAGAACAACCCATTGATTAATAACCAACATGTGACTTTATCTTTAGACAATGTTTTATTCCAATATCACAGATTTTGCAGGCCAATATAATCTGATATTTATTTTTGTCTGATATCAGATATCCAATATCAGTATTGGATTGGGACATCTCTAAATGATAAAACTGAAAGCTTTGCAGGAAAAGGATTTTTACTCATTTTATTTAAACATAAACTGTTGTTAATCCTTAATAAATATATAAAAATAAAGACTTAAAGGTCAAAACAGTGCTTTAAACCCCAATTTTTTTTTTTTTTTACCAAATGAATGATTAATTTCTTTTTCTCCGATAAAATCTCCCTTTAAAAATCGAAAAAGGAATTTATTTGATAAAATGTGCCTTAAAATTACACCGCTGATCACCGGACTAATATCTGCACTACAGCTACAGAGCTGGATCCAACAGTGAGGATGAGGTGGAAGGAAGCTTTTAGGCACATCTTTTAACAAAACATTTCAGTAACAATGAGCATTTTACAAGTAAAGGTATAAATGCTAATTACACGAAACAAACTATTTTAAAAGTTGCAAACCACATTTTTAGAGTTATTAAAGCTTGGTCGACTAATGACTTCCTGCTTTAATAACCAGTGATTAAAATGATGTCTACAGGTCTTAGTGTCTCCAGGAAAACTGGGGTTTTTACTCCCCATACTACCTCCAAACAAACGCCGCCTCTTTGTCTCTGTATATGCAAGACGGAATCATTGAAACAAGGAAGGAAGAGTGGATCTGAAAAGCTTTGGGATTGTGGAAACGAAGAAACAGAGTCATTGGCAGTTATTTAGGTAGAAAACATTATGGTTGAGATTTTGGGCGGAATATTTAAAATATTTTTATTAAAGTTATAGAGTAGACTTTAGAGTAAAACAAAAGGGAAGTTCTTGTATCTGTTTTACTTGTTCAAGGTTTGCATTTAAACTGAACTATATGAAGGGGGCTATAACTCACAGCAAAGCTACGAAATGACTACGGCAGGAGCAAGCACAGACCTGCAAATTGAGGCAAACTACTCTGAGAGTTCTGCTTTCAGAACCTCGGTTTTGTTGTATTTATGCATTTATTACGGCTGCAATATGAAGGACCAACTCTGCCATATTTAAAAATAAATACAGAAATAAATAAATGCTCATTAAATGTATAAGCATACAATTAATTGCCAATAAAAAAGTGAGACATAAATGTATATAACTCTTAATTAGCTTCTTTAATTATTTGCCTTTGTAATATTTACCTTATTTATTTTTCTGTCCTTTATCATCTTCAACTTTATTTTTTAATTACTTATATTTTTAAGTATTTATTTATGTGCATGTTATAATATTTTTGTCTGTTTTATTCTTCCTTTGTATTTTTTTACCTTAGTTATTTCTTCGCTGCTGTTTATTTCTCTCTGCCCTTTTTACATTTCTCTATGCATTTATGCCTCATTATGCAAATGAGGAGGGGTTGTGTCCTAGAGAGTCAACTTCTGCTCATTGGTTGGCTTGGCGGCCCATCTTCTTAACTCACAGAGCTCAGAGTACTAAGTTAAATGTTCTCTTTTCTGTTGATGTTGTTCAATAAAAGTACGTTTTAAGATCATTTGAGGCAAGAACCTTATACTTTTAAGCATCACCATATGGCCCATTCACAGATTTAATGCGTAATTTAAAAGAAAATGTGACGAACTTGAGAGGACCGTGGCAACCAGCGGAGCTCCGAAGCTGACGGCAGCCAGGTCTATAGCCAGGCTATGATGGCGATTTTTTGTTGTATTTGGCAAAGTTTGGCAAAGTCCCTACTCAAGTTCTAATGACTTCAGACTCGACATCAGACTCTCCTCCTGTAGATTCGACCCATGTAGTAAAATGCTAACCAACACGCTTCACACACGGTTATGCCGAGAGAGGGCCGCTGCAGATGGGCTGTGGTTAGACCTGGCTGCCGTC